TACTCTACTTTCCCTAGCCCATAAATCCTCTGAATTCTATCTTGTCCTACATCACTTGGTACCAGACCCCGGTTGTCCTGCATTGATTAGAATTAGAGCCAGGTTGTTCTACATCATTCCTGCATTATCAGAATACTAATATATATATATATATATATATATATATATCTACGGGTCATACTTATAAGCTACACAGCTAATGTGCAGAGAAATGGAATAATTTATTACATACTTCACAAAGGTCCAGAAAAGAAAGGCGAGACCACTTACTTGAGATCAATGCCCATAAAACAAGGATTGAGTTGTATCCCAAACCACCTAAAGATAAAAGGGTAAGCATATTGATTATTGGAAGGAAGAAAAAACACAAGTGTGAATCATTCCTTTTCCAGGAAAAATGTTGAAAATGTACTTAAAAGAATTGAATCTTTCACTATGAACACTCCATTTTTGAGGGAAATGAAAGTAGTGAAGAACACGTGTTGGGTGCAAAAAATTTGATAAAGTGATTCAACAGCTAGCAACTAGCCAGGCTCCTCAGAAATCCTTTTTTCACTACTCTGTCTTCTAAAATTAGCTGACACTTCATATTGGTTATCTAAGAGACTAATTTTACAGGACTAAGCAGGAGAATATCCATTTCTCTACCACTTAAGATTGGGATACATATGAAAAATACCAATCATCTATCAGGTTTCCTGTTAAATGAGGCTTCAGAGAGGAACTTTGACTGGAGGACTTGCAACCAGCAATATAGAGCATCAATGTTGCCTGACATTAAAGAAAGAAAAGAGTCAAATGGAAAAAGTCAAGAAAATTTTGGAGGAAATTAACATAATAAAATCAATAGCATGTGAGGTAAAGTCAACTTATTACAACCAACCAGTGATTGGAGAAGAGTGGAGATCAGATCTAATGCTCTTAACATCTTATACTTAGAAAATCAGGAAAATGTAAATGAAACATATTCTCAAAGAAGGAAAGAAGTGCACCAGAATGATAAAACTGCTCAAGATAAGCTTTTGGCTCAAATAAAAACAAAAGAGAGGGGGGGGGCTTCCTTTAATTATCAAATAGCCAGCATTGGTCTCAGACAGCTATACACTGTATAATTTCAGTGGTTGAACCAGATAAAAGGGCCCCGACCCCCAAAGAAGAAAGGGAAAAGTAGAATTCAAATGGAGTTCCATTTTTGCCACAAAGGATCTCCATAGAAATCAAACCAATGCCCCACATCATTTTGGTATAATATTCTGGTTGGTCTTTTCATTCTAAAATGGAAATCTCAGTTTCTAATTATCCATGTTGATTTTGTGCGTCGATGGAGGTAATCCAATGTCATAACCAAACAAGGAAGATAAAGACAATGTTTGTGATAGTTCGCCCTGGACGAATATGCCAAGAAATATTAGAGCATGCATTCAAGAAGATAATCGTGATTTTAGAGCAAAGAGTTAGAACCATAGTTAGAAAACAGAAAATCACTTCCTTAAAACTTCTAAAAGGCAAAATTCCACTGCTATTTACCAGAAAACTGAATAAAAAAGTTGTTGACAGCAGCTCAAGCCCTCTATCTGCTATCATCTGCAAACATGATCAAGCTGTCAAACATACACAGGCACATTCAGTTGCACACACAAGCTACCAACAGATATTAAGTTTTCTACCATTAACATCTCCTTGAATGTGTATTTTACAACTGTTTTGACCATCTCTTTAACAAATGCAACCTGGGAATAGCAAACATCAAATGTTGCAGTATCATGCCTAAGTTGAGCTCAAGCTATCTTATCATGCAAGGCAAGGAACCCACCCCGAGTAGTTCATATTGCAAGTTAGTGCACTGTTCATGGTGATGTCAAAAGGGCTTAATTCTATTTATCCAACATCTTCAGCATGTTTTCAATGCTTAAATTAACAGTAAAACATACTGAGGCTCACTCATTTTGAGTTTCAATACAACCCCTCTGTAATATACAGTATACTAAATTTCAGAAATATACTGTAAACCGCACCCATCCAATTTATTCTGAGCCTAATGCGTACCTCATCTCAACTAAGCTAACTTTCCAAGTAATTGAAATTTAGCAAGATGAACCACTTCACTCTGCGTACTAGAAATAATTCCCCTGCAAGGCTGCAACTTGCAGTGACAAAATCAAATATATATTCTCCTAAGTACTAGTTTAAAAGAGAAGTTTATTTTTTTGTTCCTATCTTCACAAAACTCAAATTATTTATGACTCATTTAGTGCACTTACTACTCCATTCTAACTAACGTAACCTGTTAACCTTCATATTAGTCTTAACCTAAAGAATTAGTGCATAATTTTATATTGCATTTCAACCTCACCCACACCTTGAATTCCTTAAGATAAAAACTTTTCCACTTCAATTTTTGAAATATAGAGTAGGATTAAGATCAAACACTGAAATCACATTCTAATTCTAGTAGTAAAGGGTAATATCAAAACCAGAGGTAAGAATTAAATGGAAAGGAAAAATGGAGTGAGAACTGAACAACACGGAACCTTAATGCTAAATAAAAGTGAACTTAGAGAACTAAGATTTATCAATAAATTCCAAAAAAAAGGAATATTGTTCCAAACGTACATAAATTAGTAAAAAAGAAAAGCACTGCGTACTTACAGCAGGCGATATGAAATCCATCTTAGCACCGACCCCGAGAAGCGTAACCAGCAATAGAAGTGAAACCAATCCTACCCAAAACGAGGAAGAAGTACTAGAGTTTATAAATAGCATGCTATTTGAAGCTCAATATTTACAGTACACAAAACACCAGATGTATACACATCAAAACACGCACTAACCATTACAGCGATAACGAAGGCGAGTGCCATCGGACAAGAGAACCCCGGGGACAATTTTACCCGGTAGAATAGATCCAACGATCGCCAAATAAGTGAAGAACACAGCTAATATAGCTACCTAGTACATTGAAATGACAGACAAGATTTCAAGAAAGAAAATGAAAAACAAATCAATTGTCAAAATGAGGATCGACGGGATTGAGCCCATTCAGAGATTTCGCTTGGGAAGAAGATGTCAACTGAGACGGAAGCTCTTGGCTGACAAAAAGCTATTCAATAACCCACAAAATGAAGCAGAATAAATTCTTACAGAGTTCCAAGTAGGCACTAAGGCGTGTAGAAGAAAATCTAGATCCATTCTATCTTTATGCGAGTCACTTTGTAACATTCAATCGATTCTGATTGGAGACTGGATGCAGTAATGGTCCCAGTCTCTCTCTAGCTGCTCTCTGCTTCACTTTCTCCACGCTGTTAACAGAGCAGCAGCGCTTAAAATATCTTTCAATTTTACAACAGCAGGAATGCTTTGGCTTTCCCTTTTACTCCGTGGTCGCCATTGTTGGTTTTACTGTTAAGCTTAACATTTTCACAATCTCTCAAGCTTCTATACAGTACCTAAAAGGCAATTATTAGTTTTTTTCGTTCTTAAAAAATCATACTTCAGAAAAGAAAAAAATATTAATATTTGAGACCCATTTACTTTTTGGGCCGAGGCCCATAAACCATGTTTCCTTCCAGGGCCATTTCTTTGTTCACCAAATTTTACTGACCCAAACGTCCGCCAAGGGCCACGCAGCAGATGCCGCCGAAGGCGTCTCAAATGTTGCGGCTCAGCGCATATTTCCCCTTATATACTGTCTCCAGCCCTAGTATCATTCGATCACTGACTCACTCTCAGAAAGGAATATAGAAAAGCCCTAGCTTGTCAGTCAGCTTAATTTCTCAGTACGATAATGGAGTTTTGGGGTAATATTCTTGCTCTTTGTTCCTTATTTTTCGTCTTCGTCACTTTACTAGGACTCTTTGTACGCTATGATCTTTACATTTCGTCCCTCTTGTGTTCACTATCTCTGGTGCTTTTTCGAAAATGCACGGAAAATAGTTGTTAATTATATATGACTTTCTGCAAATGATCATCATCTTTCTCTGTTTATATGTATAAATACTGTCTGTGGATATGGAAGAAAAGAGTGCCGGCTGTGTTGTATGAGAGTTTACTTCTAGGCAGCACGGAGTTTCGAGTAAAATTATTACCGAACATTTTTCTGAATATCGATTGTTTTTTCTCTTCCAAGCCTCCGTAACTTTGTTAGCATGACGTTAGCGCACTGTTCTAAGCACCTTGTTTGTCTGGGACTGTCAATTGTTTTTGTTTCCATGGATATTGTAATCCTTATGGAAGATGTTTGGCTGTTATTGATCCAATTCTAACTTTTTTTCATTATATTATGTGATAATGTAAGGTTTGGAAGTGAAAAACGGAGCGTCTGTTAAAGTTGAGCCTGGAGATGACAAGATCTTGCATGTTTCCCAGGTCATATTTGATGGCTAATCTTTTGAATTTGGTTTACATCCGGGTATTCCCGTAAGTGTTTGAATGCTATTGTTTGTTGAAGTGCGGTTCTTCAATGATGCAGGCTTCCCTTGGTGAGGTCAAGAAGGAGAAAGGAAGTGATCCTGTTTACTTGTATCTGAAAGTCAAAAATCAGAAGTTTGTGCTTGCAACACTTTCTCATGAGAAATTTCCTCAGGTGAATTTGGATGTGGTATTTCATGAAGAATTTGAGCTTTCTCATAGCTTCAAAAGTGGAAGTGTCTATTTTACTGGATATAAAGTTGAAGCGCCTGAAGGATATCCTTGATCGTCATCTATTTGTATTTTGTTGTGCTACTTTTACCAGCTTATTTTTAGTCTAATTATGGAAATCATATTGTTATTCTCTGATATCTCCTTGACTGCAATTTTTCCTGCCATCTCCACTTCTGAGTCTGATTATGACAGTGAAGAGGATCAAGAAATTCCACAACTCACTATTGAAAATGGTAGCAACACTTTCATCTTTCTCTTTCTCTGGGTTCTTTGGTGCATCTGGTTTTTAAAACTACTCCTGAATATGCAGTAAAAGTTGAGTCAAAAGCTATTAAAGCAGAGCCTGGTGCCGAGAAGCCTAGTGCTGCAAAATCTGATAATGCAAAGAAGCATGTGAATTTCAAGGAACCCCCTAAAGATGCTAAACCAAAGAAGGAGGAAGATGATAGTGATGACGATGACTCATCTTCCGAAGAGTCCAGCGATGAAGAAAAATTGGTATTTTTCTTTATATTGTGCATTGAATATGTAACTTGTCTCTATGTGTATTGGGAATGGAATCTTCCTTTCATATTTTTTCTTGTAAAACTGAGGATAGATTCTGTACGTATAGATATATAACTTATATTTTATTTCAAGACAAGTGAGTTTTCCTTTTAACATTAGAGAAGGTTTTGGTACACATTCTGTTAGTGACTCATTTTATTTCAGGATAATGAGAGTTTCTCTTTATAATTGTGAGGTTTTTGGTTCATGTTCCGTTGGAGAGCTAATCATTAATGTTAATAAACAATGTGGTAAAGAAACTGCTATAGCCTTGTAGCTCAAATGGATCTCAATTATGAGATATTGTTAGTGAGTTCGACCCACATTTGTATCAACCAACAATAAAGATGTGGAAAAACTAGACATTGTTGCATACTGCTGATATGGAACAAGAAGACCCTAGAATTTAAATATTTAATATTTTTTTTTAAATAAAAGAGATAAAATATATTTACCAAGGTACCAAGGGAGTACCAACTGTGTACAAAATAGTTACAAATCTATCAAGTGGATTAGGACGAGACCTAAGTCTTTCCATTCTTTCACATCATGACCTAATAAGATAGATTCAAAAGTATGAAACCATTTACTTCAAATGTTTACAATATCAGTTTCAATGCTCTCAAAAGCCCTCCATTTCTTTCCTTCCACACAACCTAAAAAATGGTAAGTGGAATAAGGAATCTATGTCTATTCTTTTTACAATGACCCGCCCATGCCCAAAGTTCCTCACTAACTTTATCGGCTCTAACCCAAAACAAACCCAAGAGCTCATAAACCATAGCCCAACTGTTGTTAATCACAGGACAGTCTAGTAATAAACGGTAACATGATTCCTCATCAGTTTTGCAAAAATAACATCTATTCGCCATAATGTTTCCTTTTCTTTTTAACATATCAATAGTTAATATGCTGCTTCTCGCCACCTCCCAAGTAAAAAACGTCACTCTAGGAGGCGCTTTCACTTTCCATTTAAGCTTGAAAGGTGCAGTCATGTTCTGAACATCACTCCTTTTGCTCAAGCTGCAGTAGAACAACTTAACC